CTGCATGGCCGTGCGGACACTTGGCAGTCCCCAGGTGGGGTGGGCCCTGCTCCGTATAGCCTACAGCTCGGTGGGCAATTGGGAGGGTTTGACTCCAAGATGGGATCCAGATTTCTCCTGTTGGAAGTGGGTGCCATTGAGGACCAGGCTGGGCCCTCTCCAGCTGCACCCTCTGCCCCGGAGCCCCCTTCCCCCTGTGTGATCAGCCCAGCAATGTGTCCAGTCTCCCTTGAAACCAACCCCAGAGTCTTTGTGGGGAACAGGCCGTCTTCTCCTTTTCTTAGCCTTTCCATACACTAGTCAGTGGGACATCTGACTTGAGTAGGACAGATATCACAAATTAAGATCGGAATAAAGAACCCGTGATTGTCCAGCTCACGGCTACCAAGTGACCCAGGTGTCCTTGGGGAGTTGCAGCTGCTGGAAGGGGTGCAGCTTGTGAGCTTCTATCCCCACGTTCTGTGGTGTGGGCAGACAAGTGCTATGTTACAGCACCTCTTGCCCATGAGCCTCCGGCAGGGCCCTGGCGCTCTCCTCAGCCACTTCCCAGAGAGGCCCAACTTCCTCACCAACCTCTGAGCTGGACAAAGAGGTGCTCTCCCGGCCCCATCAGTGGCTTCCGCATGTCCCTGCCCTCAGCCCTTCACGGTGACTTCACTCCCAGCTGTGTGACATGGTCAAAAGGATGCCAATAGGAGGAGCACAAGCAGACACTCCAGGGAACAGGCCTCAGGAAGCTGGGGACGGGAGACCACGCAGCCATCCATCTGAGAGCCCAGGGCCACCCGTCCGCCAGCCTGAAGGCAGGTGACCGAGGAGCCCTGCTGAAATCAGAGCAGCTGCCCAGGTTGGTAGAACCGCTGGTCAGCCCCGGGCTCGTGAGGGTCATGGACTTGTTCTGAGCCTTGAGCTTGAAGATGGTTTTGTCGCACAGCATCACTGGGTTGTGGGTGACGTCTGTGGCCAGGCAGGATTGTGCCCTGCCAGGCCCCTGAAGACACCCAGGTGGCAGGTGACATTTGGGGTTCTCCTGTGGGTTCTGTTCTCTCCTCCCCCTTTGCGTGTCGCTGGCCGGGCGAGTAGAACCTTCCCAGGCTCCCTACTGCAGCTGGGTCATCCCCTCAGTGGCTCTCACGATGACATCATGTGCCCTGGAGAAGCTCCCCCAAGCTGACTCCATGCGCCCCTAGCCTCCCTGGCCCTGCTCACCATCTTTAAATGCCAGAAGTGCGGAGTGATTTGTCACTTTCTTCCCACCCCCTATCTCCTCCATGCCTGCCTTTGATCATCCCTCTGTTCCAGCCTCTGTCTCCTCCCTCCATCTGCAGCTTCCTCCTCCTGCCCTCGCCTCCCCTGACCCCAGGGTCTCCTATGGTCAGTACCGCTCCTTCCCAGGAGAGAACCCGGTTCTGGTCTTCATCCTGGCTGAATTTCAGGGACTAACAGGCTCCAGGTCCTGGAGGGCAGGAGGTAAGCTAAACTACACCACAGGGATTTGGACATGACTGGAACCGGTTCCCAGGGAAAGATGAGGACATGTGTGCAAAGTGGTTCAGAGAGGAATGGCCTGAGCGGGGAGACCCTGGGCCTCTCCCCACAAAGCGCACCCACCTTGGAACCACAGCTCATCCTCCTGTGTCCACCAAGGCTTCTGAGTGAATCCCATGAGTGTGTGGGTGTCCGTCAAGGGCCTAGGTCTAGCCCAGACTGCGCCTCTGGTAGTGGCCACCCATTAAACAAACATTACTCAGAGACACCCATTAAGCATGAGAAAGACTTTATTCAGGAGAACTGACAGGTACAAGGACCAGGACAACAGGGTCTAGTAGAGGAGGAGAGAGATCGGGCTCACCATGGCACAGCAGAGCATGGAATTTATAGCCAAGGAGCAAAGCAGGGGCAGCTGATGGAACATTAAGAGGACACTTCTGCCTGGGTGCAGTGGCCCCCACCTGTAATTCCAGATTTGGGAGGCTGAGGCAGGAGGATCACAAGTTCGAAGCCAGACTGGCAACTTGGAGACTCTGTTTCAAAATTTAAAAAGGGCTGGGGATGTAGCTCAGCTGGGGATGTAGCTCAGCACTTGCCTAACATGTATGAGGCCTGGGTTGGACACCCCCGTACCCAAGGGAGAAAGAAAAAGAGAAAACATCTGTGGTAAGAGAGGTTCTAGGGTTCTGGCTAAACTGTCCTAATAGGCCAGGGTGACGATGCTACAGAGCTGAGGCCTTTCGGGAAACTGAGACAGCATGAAGACCCTCTCTTCAACCCCAATTCTTGCCATCAAGTCAGAAAGATTTCAGACTTATCACTCAGAGCAATGGGGTGCGTTTATTGAAGGGATAGGGAAAGGGAAAAGGGACACTTTCAAGAGAGAGAGTGGTCCTCTCAGAGAGGAGAGGGACTGTGTGCTTCCTGTACTCCAGCTTTATTGCAGATCCCAGAGAAGTTTCCAGAGAGTCCAACCTAGGCCCACTTCTTGACTTTTGACTGACAGCAGGGTGACATCAGATTTTCAAGTCCACATGGCCATGACAAATCTAGGTCACCTTGGCCCATGTTGACCAGTTCTAATTGGATTCTTTTTTTTTTTTTAAAGATAGACACAATATCTTTATTTATTTATTTATTTATTTATTTATTTATTTTTTATGTGGTGCTGAGGATCAAACCTGGTATATCACAAGGGTGAGGCAAGCGTTCTACTTCTGAGCTATAACTCCAGCCCCTCTAATTGGATTATTATTATTATTATTTTTACAATATCTTTATTTTATTTATTTATTTTTAGTGGTGCTGAGGATCAAACCCAGGGTCTCACACCTGCTAGGCAAGTTCTCTACCACTGAGCTACAATTCCAGCCCCTCTAATTGGATTCTTAACCATGAATTCTTACAGATTTTATGGTTAAGAAGAATTATCCTTATCTACTTGAGTTTCAGAATCTGGTTTGTGGAAAAGGTCACAAAAGTGTCTCCCTTCAGTGTAACTTGGGTCCTCATAGCAACGTTATTCCAGGCCTACATTTTTCCTGCAGATAACAGATAGTTTGCCGAGAAATGTGACATGTCCTGTCCACTTAGGCCAGGCCGGGCTGCAGGTCAATTGCTCCTGGGAAAAGAAAGCATGTGGGGATCAGCACATTGGTGCAGTTTATAGAATTATTCTCAACCTCCTGCTCCCACCATTTGCACCTGTCTATCCTCTAACAATCAGAGGGCACCTGGGGGGAGGGGTGTGGAGGATGAGGAGCCCAACCAGAAAGGGAGGTGGGTCCCTGCTAAATTGACTCGGCAGGGTCCTTTAATCTGGATGGGCCTAAGATAAGGTTCAGGAGCCGGATGGATAAAGTTTGGCCAAGCACGGAATCTTTGTCACACCCCACAGAAGAGTCCCCAGGCTGCTGGTCTGGGGGCCCCAAGCTGAGAACTCTGCTCTAGGGCCTTGCTGTCCCAAAAAACATCACAGCAGCATATACAGGTTCAACTTCCTAATCACCATAGTGTAAGGTAGGAGCTCAGGGGCGCCCAGAAGGTGGGGCAGGGTATAGAAGACGATGCGGAGGGAGGCAGGGGGCAGTCATGTCCCTGTTTAGCATAAGTCCCATCACCAAGACAACTCCCGCATAGGTTCAGTATTTTAAAATGACCAATGGGTCTCCTTCCCTCTTCTGTGCAATTCCCCCTCTCTCTCCCATTCCCTCCCACCTATCGTCCCTGTTTGATGATAATTTTCTTCTCATGCTCTTCCTCCCTGCTTTGTTTTGAGTCGCCTCCCTTATATCAAAGAAGGCATTCGGCATTTGTTTTTAAGGGATTGGCTGACTTCACTTATCATAATCTGCTCTAATGCCATCCATTTCCCTGCAAATGCCATGATTTTGTTGTTTTTTATTGCTGAGTAATATTCCAAGAGGAGGAAAAAATAAATAAAAAATATGAGTTATGGCAGATGGGGTAGAGGGAGGGGAGGAGAGGGGAGGGGAGGGGGGATAGGAAGGGGATAGGAAGGGCAGCAGAATACAACAGACACTTGTTTGGCAGTATGTGTAAACGTGGCTGTATAATCAACGTGACTCTGCAATCTGTACACGGGGGAATAATAAGAATTCATACCCCATTTGAAACAAATGTATGGTATATGATATGTCAAGATCAATGTAAAGTTTTGAGCAACCAATAAATTTCAGATGCTTAAAAAAATGACCAATGGGGGTAAAGTGGGCAGTATTCTAATTAGGTTTTCTAAAGTAACCAAAGGGGGACAGAAGTCAGGCAAGTATCATAAGGTGGCCAATGGGGACACATGGGGTAAGGTCGTCAGTCAGATCAGGCTAGAAAAGACCCGGCTGGCGGTTGGGCATGCAGGACCACTGTGCAGACGGCCGGCGCCTCCCTCGGCCCTCTCTGCTCTGCCTGACAGAGGGCCACTCGCGCGGCCGCTTCAGGAAATCTGCACCTTGCCTATTACTTGTGTGTCTTGCTCAGTTCCCTGTTCCGGACATCAAGGATCTGGACCCCAGCTGGACACAATACCTCCAAGACAAGGAGAAACAGGTGATTTCAATAATATATTTTACTTTGCCCATGGATCCACATATCACTTCGACGCGCAACCTACAAACATGACCGAGGAGCTTCGTGTCCCTTCTAACTGCTGGAGACCCCGTGTCAGCTCCGCCGGAGCTCACCTCCTCGCGCCCCAGCGGGCTGCCGCCCCGAGGCTCCGCCCCCGAGGACCACGACTCCCGGCATGCACGTGGCGCGCCAGACACGCATTTCCGGCGCGCCTGCGGGAGGGGGCTCCCGCGGAGAACCACATCTCCCGGCATGCCCCTGCGCGCCCGAACGCACTTCCGGCGCGGCGGCGACGGCACGCCCCCGGCGGCTGCGGCGGCGGCAACCAGGCGACCGCTCGGGCGGCGGCGGCGAGTGACGGGCGGCCGGGCCGACGGGAGCCGGGGCGGGGCGGCGGCGCGGCCCAGCGGAGGAGAGCCCGGCGGCTCGCCCCGCCCCCGCCCCGCCCGTGCGCCCCGGTGACCTTCACGGGCTCGGGCGGCGGGTGCAGGCCCGGGCGGCGGCGCGATGTTCGTGCAGGAGGAGAAGATCTTCGCGGGCAAGGTGCTGCGGCTGCACATCTGTGCCGCGGACGGCGCCGAGTGGCTGGAGGAGGCGACCGAGGACACCTCGGTGGAGAAGCTCAAGGAGCGCTGCCTCAAGCACGTAAGGCCCGGCCCCGCGGTCCCCGCCCCGGCCCGGACCCCGACCTCGGCGCCCGCGCTCCGGCCGTATCCGCCCGCGGCGGGGGCAGCGCCTCCAGCTCCTTAGCTCGGTACCCTCCTTCCCGACTCGGAAACCTCTGGGCGCTATTTCTGAGCCCAGCCTCCAGGCCTAGCACTTTACGTGCCTCCTGCATTTAATTTCCACAGCTACTTGGGGAGGTAGGGCAGATGGGAAAACGGAGGCCGGCGAGGACAGCCTGACCCGAGCAGAGCTCGTGGTTTTCTGGCGTCCGTGCTTGCTTCCTTGCTGTTGGGTAAGGCTTTTGTTCTTCAGTGGCTCCCGCAAGAGCTGGGAGTTAGTGTGCGTTCCTTAATTAAGAGGACCCTTTCCTGTCCCTGCAGAGCCAGCTGCTTGGAGCGATTTCCTGTGGCCAGCCAGCCGGCCTGGGGTTGGCTCCTAGCTGGTGTCACTTAAAATAGTGCCACAGTGGGACAAGTCTCCCGGCTCTTGGTTTTTCTGCCGGGTAAAATTGATTTAGTGGAAAGGTCCAGGACAAAGGGTTTCCTCACTGGGAGTACCACTTGCTGAAGTTTATTCATAGGAAATACTTCTTAAATTGTTAGGCCCTCTGGGTTGCTAATTTCTGGAACTAGTTCTTGAGGCCTTTGCCTCTCACTAAGTTCAGGTGAGACATCTATTCACCTCTCAGGCCCTGGTGGCCTGTACTTTGTGATGTAATTTTGCCTGGCAGAATTTAGCCACAGCTTTTTAATGGGGACTTTAGGTGAAAAGTTACATACTTAGTCCTCAGGTTGCTTGCATTAAAATATGGTTTGGCATTGTCTCTTAAGGTAAACTTTCAGTTATTATTTTATTAACTGCTTGCAAATAGTACTTTTTCACCCCTCCAGTGAGGGGTGGAGCTGATCTTATGGGACTTATGATTTTGTGGAGCTGATCTGTAACTGCAGAGGTAGGAATGGTGAAACCCAGCCTTCAGCCCCCACTGGAGCACAGTGGTTGTGCAGGTTTGCTTGGAGGGATTTCGAAATCAAAGGCTGGGGATTCCAAAGGCCTCTAGGGTGTTTGTTAGTGTCAGGTTTGTTGCTTGTCTAGGCTTGTGTCTTTACTACCTCACCCCCTTGGTGCTATGTCCTCCCACCGAGGGTGGGCTCCTCAAGGACTAAGTTTGTATCCACAAGCCCAGGGCCAGGCTTAGAGTGGCCACAAAACAAAGGTCAGGATTCATAAAACAAATGTAAACTTACTCTCAACTGCTTAGACATAGGTGTGGCATTTAGTCTAACTCAATTGTGGTATGGATTTGCATAACCATCATAGTAGTATTTTATGAAGGGAAATGACAAATGATCCCTAGATACAGGAGCACTTGGGGTTAATTAGGCAAGTATTCTCAATATGCTGATTATTCATGATATTTCTTGTTCTAGTTGGTATTGCGATTATATCATTTGGGATTTTTTTTTTTTTTTCCATTCTTAACCTCCTTTCAGTTGAGATTTCATTCCACTCTGCAGTTTCCCTGGGAGTGGAGGATCTAAGCATCAGGGACTTCCACACCTTGAGGATCCACATTGGCCATAGGACTGGTGGACTGTGTTCTCAGAAAATGTCCTCCCTTCATCCCACCATCCTGCAGGCAGAGTCAGTGTGGTAGTCAGAAAAGAGAATTCCTGAGTTTTGCACTTGAACATCACCCAGAAAACAGCTGCAGCTGTTGTATTGCTGGAGGCAATGAGATCTGGATGTCTTGGCTTTGCCTTCCTGTGCCTACTTTGCCTGTACGCGCTTATGCTGGTGGAGATTTTCCTTCCTCTTTCCCCCTTTGCCTTAAGAGGGATGATGTGGGCATAGCTCTCACCTAGTTCTTTTGCCAGATTTCTACTGTGTTAGAGAGGGATTGTCATAACTTTTTTTTGGAGGGGAGGTACTGGGGAATGAACCCAGGGGCTACATCCCCCAACCCTTTTATTTTGTAGCAGTCTTGCTAAGTTGCTGAGGCTGTTCTGAAACTTGCAGTCCTCCTGCATCAGTCTCCTGCGTTGTTGGAATTACAGGCATGTGCCATTGTGCCCAGTTTGTCAGCTGTTAAGGAGATGGATAGCTATTGTTACCTTTCCCTTTTTTGTTTTATCCAAAGTGAGTTCACCCTGGCAATCTCTGGTTTCCATTGTGCATTACTGGAAGAAGGGGGACAGTAAGCTCTTGTCTAATAGGGGGTTAAAAGTGTTAAAAAAAATGTTATATATGTGGCATGGTGGAGTTTTTCTGTGATAAGGTGTCAGAAAAGAGCACCATTCTTGCTAGTATAGCTGCTAAAACTTCCTAGGTCCTGTCATTTTCACATGGCAGCATCAGGTATGAGAGAAGGTGAGAGGTGGCTCCTCTGGGGAGGCCGTGGGATGCAGAGGGGATGCAGGCCTCCCTGCCCTAGTGGTGGCCTCCATTGGGGCTTCGCTGCTGCATCCTGGCATGTGCAACAGAGATGGAAGGAGATTGTCATTCGAGGCAGGGGTAATCCATGCTTACATTATGACCCCAGCGTGCTGTTGACAACTGCAGAGTACAGTTTTTGTGGAACCAGGATGAGGATTTTTTTAAAACTCTGTTTCATAAACTGAACTTGACCAATCAACTAGAATTAGTTGTGAATTTTAGTACTACCAAGAGGCACATGCAATATTCTGGGAACAGAACCCTTGCCAAGTTCAAGGGAGTTGCGGCTTCTGACCTACGTCATCAGAGGAGAGAATGCAGACTACTGTGGCTGGGCTTCTCCTCCTCCACTCTCAGGCCAGTCTGAATCTGCGTCGACCTCTTAAGCCTGCATGATGCTTTTTTTAAAGCTGTTTTCAGTCTTGGAGACTAACAGACATTTTGGCTACTCTTACAATTCTGATGTTGAGTGAAGAATGTGCTTCTGTTTCTTCTTTTCTGGTTAACAGTTGTCTGTGTGGGGTATTTTGAATGTCTGATGGCTAGGGAGGTGGCAAGCAGGCCTCCAGTGGAGTCTGCCCGTGGCTTCCTGATGCGTCCTGGAAGGCCTGGAGGACCCTGGTGCCCTGAGCGTTCTGGGGTGGGCATGTCTTGGAATGGCACACAGCCCCCTTGGAGGGCAGGCCACACATGCAGCTTGATGCTGGGTGTTCAGAGGCAGCCATTGAGCTGTCTCACCTGGCTTCTTCCTTTCCTGTTCTTTAGATAATTCTGTCATCTAAGCCCAGGGGATCCATAGCAGTAGGAATATAGTTGGGGCCCCTAGCTCCATTCTGAATTTCAGGGGCCTCCAAACTGGGCTCTGGAAGCATTTGTGTATTTTTTCCAAAGTATAAGTGCCACCCCACTTCCCCAGCCCAAGGCTCTGGCTCATGGGTGGGGCACAACTGAGAGGTGGGCACTGTGTGATGCGTGATGCTGATGAACAGGGAAGGGGTTGGGATGTTGGGTACAGACCCTGGTGAGCATGCGTGGCCCACCAACAGGCACCAAGAGCTCACATGGTCTTCCTGCGTGGTGCTGTCCGCATTGCAGGACCTACTGTGCGTGGTGGCCAGGTGGGCGGGACTTCTGTGATCCAGTAGGTGTGTGGGTCTGGAGGGTGGCCCACGGCTGTGCACAGAGAGAAGCCTCATTGAATAAAGAAAATGTCTGCCTGGCCCCTGCCAGCCATTTGCTGTGAGATATTTAGATGATATTACAGGATTAGGAGAATCTGCTTGGGCTCCCTCCTGGCCTGTGGAGTCTGACCATGGAGGTGGTATCTGGAGGCACCCTGGAGTGTGGGTGGGGTAGCTGTGTGGTGTGCGTGAGGACCATGCTCTTGTGCATGTGGCCGCCTTCCCTGGGTGGATGAAGATATCAGGCCCTTTCTTCTGCTGCCCCATGCATGTAACTGGGTTTCTAGGTGTCGTAGACATGACTGTGTGCTTGTTGATCCCCTGTGAGCTGCCCCAGGAGGGCCGGAAGCTGCGTGCACAGTGTGGCTGTCACTAGTGGGCTGGAGGCCAGTCTGAGGCCATTGTGCTCAGCACTGTCCTGGGGACTTTGTGGGCTCCCTGGGCAGGTCCTGGTCCTTGCCTCTGGGAACAGTTCTTTTTGTTCGTGGACCTCTACTCCTTTTCACAAAGGACTGTACCATGGAAGAAAGAAAAACAAGTGCTCAGAGTGTACCTGGATCTCTAGGTTATCAGGAAACAACAGACCTATTTTCACTCAAAATTTACTTTTCCAGGCTGGGGTTGTGGCTCAATGGTAGAGTGCTTGCTTAGCACGTATGAGGCACTGGGTTTAATCCTCAGCACTACAAAAAAAATAAATAAATAAAAAATTACTTTCCAGATCTTTCCAGACTAAGGAGTCGGTCTGGGTTGCACCACTTATCAGGAGGGTGCTGCGTGTCCAAGCTCAGGAGTCTGTGGTAGGTGGGTGCTGAGGTCAGAGGCTGGGATCATGGGTCCTGGCATTGCATCTAGCTTCTGTTGGTGATGGGATTCTTTGATTTCTTCTCAGCTTTAATGGCTTAGCTAGTAAGAAGCCAGTTGATTTCTGTGTGACCCCGGACATCAGGTCCTGTGTTATTGGCATTGTGACATATTTTCTGTTTAGATATGTGTCATTTGCTTCTCCCCTGCAGTGTGCTCATGGGAGCTTAGAGGATCCCAAAAGTGTGACCCATCATAAGTTAATCCACGCTGCTTCAGAGAGGGTGCTGAGTGACACCAGGACAATCTTAGAGGAGAATGTCCAAGACAAAGGTAAGTGGCCTCCAGTGAGGTGGTGCCCAGAGGCTGTGGGGCATGGGGCCTGGGAGCCATAAGCCCTTGCCAGCATGATGTCCAGTTCTGAGCTGGATATGAGTGGGGAAACTGGGCCTGCTCTGGTTTTATTTTCTTTTTACTAAAAAAAAAAAAAAAGCATGTGTTATGTTGGTGTATTTGTGAAAAATAGCAGAAACTGCTGGGCACGGTGGTGCACGCCTGTAATCCCCGTGGCTCAGGAGGCTGAGGCAGGAGGATCTCGAGTTCAAAGCCAGCCTCAGCAAGGCCTTAAGTAACTCAGCAAGACCCTGTCTCTAAAGAAAATATAAAAAAGGGCTGGGGATGTGGCTCAGAGATTATGCACCCCTGAGGTTCACCTTTGAGGTTAAGCACCCTTGGGTTCAATCCAGAGTACCAAAAAAAAAGAAAGAAAGCAGAACCCAGAGTTGAGCAAGCAAACAGATACATGAGAACCTAACATGGACTTTATTTTTAATTCTGTTTCAAAGCAAAATTGACTCTGGAGTGTCTGCAGGTTTTACTGATGGGCTGGGAGCCACCTTCATGGGGCTTCAGGCACCCGGGCCTGTGCTCATGCACAGATTCTCTGCATCACTTGACTGTGCCTGGGGCATGTGGGGAGGAAACCCCAGCTTTCTGTGTGTCACTTCGAATAGTGACTTTAATTCTGGAAATACTGGGTTATCAGCTCCGAGCTGCAAGAGTAAACTTTGCAGCCTCACAGAGTTTTTGAAACAGCCCATGAAAACGAGAACATTTGAGAGATTCCCATGAGTTCTTTATGTGGTTGTCAGTGCTGCACTATGCCTGTCTCCTGGGCCAATGGTCACCTGTGACCACCCTCCGTCTGCTGCTCTTCAGGCCCAGGAACTGTATGTCAGCCAGGGTTGTACACACATCATGGACACCGAGGGAGGATGGGCTTGCTGGGTTTAGGATGGACCCAGGGGGAACCACGGCTGTTCTGTCCTTTCTTCCACTTACGCTGCGAAACGTTCTTTCTCTCTAGATGTCCTATTATTGATAAAAAAGCGTGCTCCAGAGCCACTTCCCAAGATGGCTGATGTCTCCGCAGAAGAAAAGGTACGTGCCATGGTGTGCAGCCAGAGTGCTCTTGGTGGGAGTCTCCTGTGCTTGAGATTGTTAGGAAACATTCTCTGTACTGATTATTCACCAGTTGGGCATAATCCCCAGTCATGGACCATGTGGCTACTAGGGATTCTCAGTCATGGCTGAGCCTGTTTAGCTGATCTTGGTCTGTCCCTCATGGGTGACAAGCCCCAGAAAAGCTGGCTATATGGTTTTTGAGATGCAGAGGGGAGTGAGGGCAAGTTCTTCAGTTACAGCCCAAGCCTGTGCTGCCGTTCAGCTTAACCTCTGTCCTTTCCTTTTTCTCAAGCAGCCAGATTGGTCTCAATAGAACAGTGTAGCACAGTTGTTAAGAGACCCCCCCCAAGAGACAGCACAGGAACAGAGAGGGGGTACTGCTGTTCTGAGAAGCTGCATTTTGTCTGTCTTGCCGATTCACGTTCATAGAGTGGATTTATGATCTGCGTCTTCCCTTTAACATAGGTGCCTTAGGAAAGCTGTAGGTTATTATGGGCTAGTGGCTATCCCAGAGTGTGACCCTTGGGAAGCTCCTGATGAGAGCTGTTCTGCAGATGGGTCTTTTTCTGCTCTTAACCCAGACTTCTCATCCATGTGCTAGCGCAAAGCGGTCCTATCTTAAAGGGCACCACCTTTGTTTAACAGCTCTTATCTCATGGGGGTAGAGCTTCTTACTCCTTCCTGGGACACCCAGAAACAGTGTTCGGCCCAGAGGATGAGCAGGCCAAACTCCTGGGGTTGGGCCCGTGACCTGATAGCAGATGAGCTATTTTGGGGTCTCCTCTGGGACCAGGGATGTAAGGGGAGTGTACCAGGCCTTGGGCCCTCCTTATCTTTAGCTGCTCCTGGCCAGGGTGTGGGCATAGGCGGGCACCCTTCTCCAGTGGATAGACCTGGGCCTGCCCCAGCTTGTCCTGAACTAGGCCTGCTTCCAAGAACTGCTCCAGGCCTGTTGTTCTCAGATTACAGGTTTGACTGTTGGTGTTTATAAATGGTGGTGGGGTTCTGACCTGCCCCACAGTCCTCTGGGCAGCTGGCTTGCAGGATGCAGTGGAGCTCCTGGACCTGCTCCTCCTCCTCCATGTTTTGGCAGAATGACACACTGTAGGATGCCAACTTATAGTTTGTGGATTAATTTTAAAAAATTATTTTAGTTGTTAATAGATCTTTATTTTATTCATTTACTTATATGCAGTACTGAGAATCGAACCCAGTGCCTCACACGTATGAGGCAAGCACTCTACCACTGAGCCACAACCCCAGCCCATGGATTAATTTTTCTCCATATGTAGCTAAAAAGTCATATAGTTCTACTGGTCTTTTAATAAAACCAGTAGCTGGCTGTCACACCAGAGTCATAGTCCCCCAAGGTGACCACTCATGGTGCTTTCAGCTGTTGTCTTTAGTAGTCCTCTTTCTTATTTCTGAGTAGCATACATGTGTTGCTGTTTCTTGAATTGCCAGTTTGGGCTGCTGGCTCCTTAACAGCAGAATGGAGCCCCCAGGCTTCGCCACTCTCCCCACAGGTGTCAGAGCGGAGTGTTGATGGGAGAGGGTGTCCGTGGCTCCATTACTATTGTTACTGATGTGTAGTTCTCTGCCACATGCAAGGCACATGAAGATTATCTGTCTGGGGGTAGGGCGTTAGCCTAGCATGTGCAAGGCCCTGGGTGTATCCCCTGTACTCACCCCACGAGATTATCTTTTTACACAGTTGCTTGTCCTGGAGGTAATAATCGCCTTGTCATTTTGCTTTCTTGCTTAGCTTTTTATCATCACTTCATTTTCTTCAACAGAATTGGTAAACCCTCTGAAAACGTGCTTGTGTATATTAATTAGGTCATCAGTCAAAAATTGCCTTTTCTTAGAAATTTCCCTCTAAGCGCCTGTGGCCTTCATCTGTCTGAATCGTCCACTCCTGCCTCCTGTGCTTCTTTCTCTCATTTTAGAATTGTATGCAGGTTTCCTATTGCCACCTAACAAATGGCCACAGACTTACCTTCTTAAAACAACACTCATTTCTTGCTTGTGGTTCGTTTGGTCAGAAGGCTCTGCTGATTTCTGTACCCAGAGTCTTTGGAGTTGGAATCAAGGTGTCAGAGTGCTGGTTCCTTTCTAGGGGCTCTGGGGAGTGCATTGCTCTCAGGCTCTTATGGTCCCTGCAGTCATAGGGCTGAGGCCCCATTTTCTCACTGGCATGGGAGGGGCAGCCTTCAGCTCCTGGAGGCAGACTGCATTCCTTGGGTGGTGGCCCTCCATCTTCACAACCTGCAACAAAGTTTTTTAGGGGTTGAATCCCTCTTACCAGAGGAACCCTGTGCTTCATAAGGGCCCTTCTGTTTAGACCAGGGTCACCTTAGATCATGTGCTTTTCCTGAAGTTGGCTATTCTCGGGATGAAACCCAAACCCACAGTGGGATCTTCCATGCCAGTGCCCTGCAGCCATGCAGAGGCGACCCGGGAAGGAGCTTGGGGCCGGTGCACTTCTGCCTGCTCTGGAGTGGAGTGGAGTGGAGTATGTCACTTGCTTCCCTGGTCTGCTGGAGCCTGGCTTCCTCTGGTGTCTGGGAAGGGAGTTCATTCTTTAGGCCTTGTGTTCCCGTGTCCTGGCATAGATTTAGCACCAGCAGGGCGCATTCCACCCTGTGTGATCTGGCTTCTCCCTGCTCCATGTGGCACCTCTTGGGCCCTCTGGGTGCTGCTGGTGTTGGGGCGTCACAGGTGCTCTGAGGTAGCTCTGTCCTTCACTGTGCCTGGCACTCGACTCTGGAGACTGATGTTTGAGTTCCAGGCATCAAGTGCTGGGTCCCTTTTGCTGATTTTTGTCCTCGCTTTGTCTGCTGCTCTGGCTTGTTGGCTGGTGGGCCTGCTTCCTGCATGATCCCCTTCCCTTGTCTTCCACCCCCCAGAGCCTTCTGTCTGGCTGTGCAGCTCCTGTTGGGGTGCCCTGGTGCCCACAGAGGAGCGTGACTACTGGCTGCTGGTGCCCACATCCCCTCTTTGCTGCTCTTGTACCTTTCCTGTTCTTATTTTGGCTTTTGTGATTTATCCTGGATGCGCTCCCTGCACCTGCCCAGCTATTCTTGCCTGTCTCTTGCCTCTGAGAGGCCCTGGAAGCCTGTTGGTGTCTGTGCCCATGAGGCTGACTGTGGGGTGCGAGCCCAGCCATCTTGCCTGCTTCAGCCCACAGCTCTGCCTGTCCTGCTGGGTCACTGATGTGAGTAGTGCCAGGGCTGGGTCTCCTGACGGGGCGCAGGTGGGTGCTGCTCCCTCCCTTCTGGGTTGCCGTCCTTGAGTCCTGTCACAGCTCTCAGGGTAGCTTTCTTCAGGGAGCAGCTTGCTGAGCTGAGTGCTGGAGGAGCGCCCCCTGTGGCTCCAGAGCTGGTGCCCTCTGGCACCCGCCTGGGGGATTAGGGGAGGGTGGCGTGGCCTTGCTTCCAGGGTTCTGCCTTGGGTCTCTCCCAGGCTTGTTGGCTTCACCCTGTGTTCTGTTTCTGCCTCCACGTTCTTCACGCTTACCAGGGAGGCTCTGGGAGGCTGCTCTCTCCTTCAGGCTCCTCTGAAGTTCTTGTGCCCTGCCCGCTGCAGCTGGGGGTGGCTGCTCTGTGGCACTGCCGCGCCATAGAGGCCTGGTGTTCCTGAGTCCCACCTGCACTCCGTCCTTGGGTTGCGCACAGGACTCCAGAACCTCAGCTTGCCAGGGTGTATGGCTGTAGCTTGGGCAGACAGGCCTGCTGTTGAGCTTGATGCCTTTATGCTCCTGTGCCCACCTGTGACTCGCCTCACTTTCTGTACAGAAGAAACAAGAACAGAAGGCTCCAGACAGAGACGCCATACATCGGGCCACAGCCAAGCTGCCCGCCTGTAGCACGGACCGGGCCGCAGTCCAGACCACCATGAGGGATGTGAGTGCTGTCCCACAGTGGGTGGGGGTCTGTACTGAGCACCTGGGGTCTGTGAGAGGTTCCCCAGAAGTGCCTAGGGTTGGCGCTGCGTGCTGTCCCAGTATTTTTGGAGGCTGAGGCAGTAGGATTGCAAGGTCTGGGTCAGCTTGGGCAATTTAGGAAAGCCCTGTCTCAATAGAGAAAAAAACAAATGTTTGGGGAAGCCAGGAAGGGAATTTGGGAAATCTTTATTACTTTTGTAGCTTTCCCATCATCTCAGACTATTTCAAAACCAGAAGTTTAAAGACACCTGGGGGCGGGGCTGAAAAGATGTAAACCCTGGGGAGCGTCACGTCTTTTCTGAGAGTGGTGAACTGTTAGGATGGAGCCCGAGGGCTTAAGTTACTTTGGACTGGAAAGTTCTAAGCTAAAAGACAATGTGTTTGCCATGCTAGAGTGGATGGTGCAGGCTGAGGGCATGCTCACATGTCAGCAGGGGGGACGGTGGCCAGCCTTTGACCTCATGCCATCAGCTGTGACCTGGGTACTTCGAGAACTTGTCTGCTTTGTTTTAGGAACACCTCTCTTGGGGTCTCTTCTAGAGAGTTCTGTGTTGCCCAGAACCCTTCCACAGCAGCGGGTGGGTGTCCTACCCCTGCCTCTGTGTGTCCAGCCTGGGACTCTCAAAGGCCTGGGCTTGTGTGGGAGGAGCTGTTGATCTGAACCCAGGCCTGCCCTGGCTAGAGCTGGTGTGCAGAGTCTCTGAGGGCACCGTGCCAGCCCCCTTGTTGTTAGGCTGTGGCCAGCCAGTTGGACAGGTGGAGTCATCAGAATATTCTCTCCTCAGCAAAGCTGCTAACCCTGGCCGACAAGTGCTTTCCTCACTGGCCATAGGCTGAGCGGCACACTTCGCTCTCGGGGTTTGGCACCAGATGTATGTGTGTTGGCCTTGAGCCCTGCCCTGTCCATGTGCACAAAGCCCTTCCTTCCTGAGGGGGCCTCCTGAGGAGGTGCGGCTCCAAGCCCAACCCTCCTCTCTCAGGCAGCCTGGTTTAATTGGCGTGTTAGAACAGGTGGGGCTGTAGGTGACAGAGGCTTGTTGATGTCAGAGAAGTGATTTTTTTTCCCCACTGCAGTTCCAGACAGAGCTCCGGAAAATCTTGGTGTCTCTCATCGAGGTGGCACAGAAGTTGTTAGCACTGAACCCTGACGCAGTTGAATTGTTTAAGAAGGCAAATGGTATGAGCAGAACCCAGACTGATTGCATGACTCTCGTTCCCACCCGTCTACCCTCTGCCTCAGAGAACATGCCGCAGCCCTTGGCGTGAAGCTGGAGAGGTCAGCAGCTGTGCCTGCCTTCGCTGGTGTGGGCCGGCGGCCTGCTGATACCCCGTTCCTTGCACACAGGGCGAGAGCTGGTGCTACAGCTTGGGTTCCCTGAGGTCTCAGAACGTGCTAGAAGCGCTTGGTGTTGCAGATGTGCCTGACAAACTTGGGGGCCCTGAGAACGCCCCCCTGACGTGGCTGGTCTCCTCTCTTCCCACAGCCATGTTGGACGAGGATGAGGACGAGCGAGTGGATGAGGCCGCCCTGCGGCAGCTCACAGAGATGGGCTTTCCTGAGAGCAGGGCTGCAAAGGCCCTTCGGCTGAACCAGTACGTCAGGCCCTCTCCTTCCTGAGATGCTGGGGCATGGTCTCGTGGGCCTGCTGGGGTCCCGTCCTCTCTGCCAGTCACGCACATGCTTCGCTCATTGGGTCATTCCCAATACATGTGTGTTTTTAAAGGGGACCCTATATGTGTGCCCCACAGGTAGCTTAATTCATCACCTTGAATTGTGTTTTGTTTTTTTAAGTAGTGGGGATTGAACTCAGGAGTACTGTGTACTGAGCTCCATCCCCAGCCCTTTTTTAAAAAAATATTTTTAGTTGTAGTTGGACATAATAACTTTATTTTTTATTTATTTTTCTGTGTGGTGCTGAGGATGGAACCCAAGGCCTCACACGTGCTAGGCAAGCGCCACACCACTGGGCCCCAGCCCCAGCCCCAGCCCTTTTTATCCCTTCATGAGTCAGGTTCCTACATTGCCTAGGCTGGCCTTGACTAGCAGTCCTCCTGCCTCACCTCATAAATACTTGGGGTTACAGGTGTGCACCATTGTGCTTAGCTCAAAGTGGTGTTGTGTTAGTTCTGAGCCTCGGTCTTGCTGCGTTGCCCAGGCTGTCCTTGAACTCCTGGGCTCCAGCGTCTTCCTTCCTCAGCCTCCTGAGTAGCTGGGACTGCAGGTCTGTGCACCACTGCACGTGGCTATCATGAGTTTTAAATTCTCTCCTCCTTTGGGGGAAATGTAAGCCAACTGGTGGACCTGTTGGTGCTCACCGTGCCCTTGTTATGAGAGCTCAGCGTCGAGCCTCCTCCCAGCAGGGACCGGGGCTCTATTAGTACTTCTTGAGATTCGTGCTTTTAGTTGCTTGACACAAAGTCTTCATGGGGGGTGGTCAGAGGCCGTGTCCCGTGTTATGCACCTGGATTCATACACCCTGGGTGTTTGGTGCTCTTGGCTTAGAAAACGGGGTCTGCACGGCAAGAGCCTTGGTGATTGAGGCAAGGGCTGTGTGAAGGGTTCCTGTCCCAAGGGGCCACCTGCTGCTGCTGGTGAAGTTGCCTGAACAGTAGTGTCCCTTCTTTGGTGCACGTGGGACGGGAGCCCTGTTACTGGCCTGGGAGAGTTGAATAGAGTGTCTTGTCCCCTCTCAGCATGTCGGTGCCTCAAGCCATGGAGTGGCTGATAGAGCACGCCGAGGACCCGGCCATCGATGCGCCTCTTCCAGGCCAGGCCTCACCAGCAGCAGCAGGTGCTGCGGCCGCCACTCCAGAAGCTGCTGCTGGGACTAGCGAGGGAGACCAGGAGGTCCGGGACGAGCTCACGGATATCTTCAAGAAGATTCGCAGGAAAAGGGAATTCCGGGCCGATGCTCGGGTATGTTTTGTGAGCGCCGGGTGATTTGGCCTCTTGCTACAGCTGTGAGGAGGCTGTGGAAATCTGGAGGGCCTCCCGAAGGCCACTCTATGTTGTCTTCTTGGGGTCCAGGTGACCTCTTTCCTCTCAGTGGCCAGTTGACATGGGGCCTCTCCTGAGAAGGTGGTGTGGAAGTTCCTGTCCAGTCACAGGTGTCAGCCAGCCTCACCTGCTGCTGTGGCCACAGGACAGGGCTGGGTGGTAGTGCCCAGAGAACTGAGGCATCGCGTGGGCTGGCAGGCCTATGAGCAGGGACTGAGGGTCTGGGACACCCGGCCCTGCATGGCCATGGGTACAGTGTGTGGACTGGCTCCCTGCTGCCTTGTGCTTGATGCCTCCCTATTCTGTGCCCCCTGCCCTCCTCTTTGATTAGGGTCTTGATTCTTCCTTGGCCCTGTGCTTCCTGTCAGATCGTAGGCTTGTGTATCTGCGTTCTCATTCTGTTTTTGAGGTTGTTATCATTAATGGTACTGGGAATAGAACCCAGAGATGCTCTAACACTGTGCTGTGTCTCCCGTACTTTTTATCTCCTATTTTTTATTTTGGGTAGGGTCTTGTAAATTATTGAGGCTGGCCTCAAGTTTGCAACCCTCCTGCCTCCCAAGCTGTTGGGCTCACAGGCAAAACCACCGCACCTGGCTCCAGATTTTTGCATGTGGTGTATAGATTGTTCCTTCAGGATCTCACCAGTGGGGTTGTTTGTTCCATTGGAACCACATGTGGCCAGGTCTCAGATGTCCAGGCAGGATGATTCTTAGCAGGACCCCAACTAGGAGCCAACCCTTAGATCTTCAGTTCTGGTGGGACCATGGCCACATACTGACTTCTCAATGTAGTCCTGCAGAGACCAGGATGTCTGCCTCTCCTTCCTGGCTGAGCCAGGGTCTCAGTGCCCACTCCACCTGCGGTGGGCCCAGGTCTGTCTGCTTTCTGCCTGATGGTGCATCCTGCCCCCCAGGGTAGCCCTGCCTCACATGCCCTCTCACTGTTAGGCTTTCCGTTCTGTCTCTGTCTCTTGGGGATTCCCTGTCTTGAGAGTTTGTGCATTTAACTCTTTTGTTTCTTGAAGGCATTCCTCAGATTAGCTGAGCATTTGTCTCCTGATTGTAGGCCTCCAGGGAGTCAGGTCCATTTCCTGTGCTGGGACCCTGTGGGGACACAGCTCTTGGGCTGGTCCTTGGCCTCTGTGGGCAGTGGGTGTGTGCTTCCCCTCGTCTGGGTCCTGCCTGGTCCTTGTGTGGTTGCTGCTGGTCAGTGTACGTTCCTTCTTGTCTCAGCCTTTTCTAAGATGCAGGTCTCCGTAGTTGAGGGTGCTCATTTGCTCAGATGCTCTTCTCCTGCCATTCCTGCCCTTCACCTCTTGTGCTGAAACCCTTCTCAGAAGGCCTTCTTGTGTGGCACTGTGAAGGCTGTAGCTCCAGTGCAGCTTGCCAGCCTGTCTCCTGCCCTCTGGTTCCTGCCCCAGGAGTCCGACAGGGCTCAGGTATTGGTCACACACAGTGGCCTGTGCTGCTTGCTTCCCTCCCAGCTGGGGCTGAGACAACCACTGCAGGAGGTGCAGGGTCCCCAGAGGCGCGAGCATGAGGACTCTGTCCTGCTGCCGCCACGGGAAAGTCCTTCCCTTTGGACTGGGCTGAAGGGCAGAAAGCTACCAAGTGTCATCTGGAAATACTGGGGCATCATTTCATGGGCTAAGATGGACGTGAAGAGGGAAAGTGGATTTTATTGACACTAAAAGAAAAGACCATCCTGTGCTTGAATTCAGCTCTAGACTGCAGGCCATCTGCTGGAGATGTGTGGCATGTGCTTGGCCCCTGAGCCATCTCAGCCCCATGTCTTGTGACTTTGACATCCAAATGCTGTTCAGTGAGTGCTTCTCCCAGCATTTGCTTTTAGACCTTGGAGTCAGGAAGGGTCCAGGAAAGCACACGAGGTAGACCATGAACAGAACGGGGGAGCTTCTGAGCCAACCACACACCACCTGGATCCAGCCAGCATCCTTCCTGCTTCTCCTCTCCTCTGAAGTCCTCTTCTGTTGGTCCCCTTGAAACTCTGTGCAAACTGAGCTGTGAGTGGACAGCACTTCCTGGGGCAGCGTGTCATGGCATTGGGAATGCTGTGGGGGCTGCTTAACACTGTGAGAACCTGAGCAAGAGGGGCCCAGGGCTGTGAGACTTGAGACTTGACCTTCAGAGAATCAAGAGAGACCCTTGAAAACTCAATGCAACCTTTTTGTCTTTTGCAAAATTGACCCTTCAAACACTGCATTTCATAGTTGAGTATAAAGGACATGTTTATTATCTTGTCACACGGATATCGTGTGGAAAATCACCCTCCCCAAACACTGAAGATTAAGTCCTTGTTCACACCAAGAATGTTTACACTTAAGAGCCTGAGTTTGTATTAGATGTAAGATTAATTTTTAGTTTCTTTTTTCCCTAAGATAATCTGAATAGAGCCCTCCCTCCCTTTTTGCTTTTGGTAGTGGGAATTGAACTCAGGAGTGCTCAACCATAGAGGCATATCCCCAGCCCTTTTTATTTTTTATTTTGAGACAGGCTCTTGCCAAGTTGCTGAGGCTGGCTTTGAATTTGTGAACCTCGTGACTCAGCCTCCTGAGTACCTGAAATCACAGGTGTGCACCACCGTACCTGGCTAAGGCCCCCTTTGTAACAAAATACTATGACCCTTCTGTCTCCATTTAAGTTGGATTTATGAACTTGACCTTTCTCTGAGGCTGCTTGTGGGATAGCAAAGCCTCTGGCGTGAGTTCCCTGAAGGTTGCTGAGAATGGCCTGAGCCACACACTCACTGGGACAAACCTAAAACATTTGATGCCGGCTGGCCTGCCTTGGGTCCATGTGAGTGTCATCTGGAGGCCTGGCCACTTCTCCTCACCCCAGCTGGCTTCCCTCAACACCTCCTGGGCCCTGCTCACTGCATCCCGTCTGGCAGCTCTTGGGCGAAGCTGCCCAGAGCCCGCGTGTTCTCCAGTGAAGCTGTGCACAGGAGCACTGGGCAGAAGGTCCTGGTGTGTTTAGGAGGCCCTGCTGAGGGGCTGGCTCCCTCACGGGCTGCTCGGCCTCGGCGGGGCGTGACCGGCTGTGTGGTTCCCTGCAGGCCGTCGTTTCCCTGATGGAGATGGGCTTTGATGAGAAGGAGGTGGTGGACGCCCTCAGAGTGAGCAACAACCAGCAGAATGCCGCCGTGAGTACCAGCAGGCGCCTGTGGTGCGCCTGCGCCGCGGTGCCCCTTGCCCATTGGCCCTGTGCTGCGCACTGTGGCTCCCACGCGTGGTCAGTTACGCAGCTTTTTACGTGAAAGGTTAGCCGGGATGGTTTAGGTGTTACACGTTTTTAAAATACTGAGAACATTCTGGGCCTCGGCTTGCTGAGAACGGTGCTCTTGTGAGCGTGCTCTGCAGAGGAGCATGCAGCTTGTTAGTTTATCTGTTAAACAGACTCTTAACATTGAGTTCCCCCCGGGGACTGCTGAGGGGAGCTCTGCTCCAGGTGGGCTCAGTGGTGACTTGGGGACAGAGTTGAGGCAAAGACCGCCAAGACAGAGGTGAGGAGTCTGTATGTCCACACTCGCAGGCTTGTTGGCTATGGAGAAGTGCAGTCAGGCTGGTCCTTCCCTAGAACAAAGTAGGTTGTTGGGGGCTCTGTTGGCACCCAGGTTCAGTGGCGGGGGCCTGTGGGTGGGTGGTCAGACCACTAAGAAAGCCAGCCTTCCTTCTCTCTCTGAGCTGCCTGGCGTGCGGACCCTGCATGTGTGCTGGGTTCATTGGCTCCAGGGCTCCTTATGGCCAGAACAGCTGTGGGAGTCAGCAGGCATGCACAGAAGGGCAGGGCCGCCAGCCGCTTCACTCCATGTTGAAGGTATTCGAGGAGCTAACGGCTACTTTGCTGTTTTGGGTTTGCAGTGCGAGTGGCTGCTGGGAGACCGCAAGCCATCCCCTGAGGAGCTGGACCAGGGCATCGACCCCAACAGCCCTCTCTTTCAGGCTATTCTGGACAACCCGGTGGTGCAGCTGGGGCTTACCAACCCCAAAACATTGCTCGGTACGTGTGTTTCCCACACTCGGCGCCTCTGCGCCCGCTGCCCAGTCCTGCATCCTGCAGGCACTGCTGCCTAGTCACTGGAGAGCTGGGAGTCAGGCTCTTGGGGATGGGACCGGCTCCTGCAAGGGTGAGCCTGGGTGGGCAGTGGCTTCAGTAGGGACAGACATGAGGAGAAAGTGTGGTTTTGACTTTTGCTTTTTATTTACAAGGGACAACTTTGTTAATTTGTTTCTATTGTGATATGTAGATATGTGCGAAAGTGTATGTGTTTATAATTTTTGGGGGGGGGGGGTGGTACCGGGGATTGAACTCAGGGGCACTCACTACTGAGCCACATCCCCAGCCTTATTTTGCATTTTATTTAGAGACAAGGTCTAACTGAGTTGTTTAGTGCCTTGCTTTTGCTGAGGCTGACTTTGAACTTGGGATCTTCCTGCCTCAGCCTCCTGAGCTGCTGGGATTTTAGGTATGCGCCACCATACCCAGCAGTGTGTTTATAATTTTAAAGAATAATAAATCCAACTGGGCACAGTGTCATACACCTGTAATCCTAGGGACTCAGGAGGCTGAGATAGGAGGATTGCAAGTTTAAGGCCAGCCTCAGCAACTTAGCAAGACCCAGTCTCAAAAAATAAAAAGCACTGGGAATGTAGCTCAGTGGTTAAGTGCCCGGCTTCAATCCCCAGTGCCAAATAAAAATAAGTCTGATAGCCACATATCTGCCCTTCAGCTTAAAAACAGTGCAGGCCTCCCTGGGGATTAGTCCTAGGACCCTCACAGACTGCAAAGTCCACAGGTGCTCACATTCCTTACACACAATGGCACGTGACCTGCGGATGTCTTCCCACGCAGTTTGGTCTCTGGCTTACATGCAGGCCCTTGTGAGATGCCAAGCTACGTAAACGGTTGTGTTTAGGGAATAAAGACGAGGAAGAAAGTCTGGGCATTTTAATGCACAGTTCTTTTTCCTCAAGTATTTTTGACCCTCATCTGGTTGATCCACGGATGCTGGACCCCTGGATTGGAGGCCTAGCCATTGCAGTCCCCCTGAGCCGCTGGATGCCTCGCCTCACTGTCCTGTGCTGCAGAGTCTTGCCAGGCATGTCTCCAGCAGTCCAGCAGCTCTTCCTGCTTTCTGTGGTGAGCTTGTTGAGGTGCCTGGGTGACCTGCTGCTGTGTCCTCTTGTGGCCAGGTGTGTCGCACAGTGGCGGTTCTCTCTTCTACCATCTCTGCCACTGTGAAAAACAGAGATGTACTGGGTTGCTTTCGGTACACCGTGCTGCTCTGAGCCCTCTTGTCCCTGTGCCTGAGGTCCCTGGGGCTCCCTGGAGGCCGCAGCCTGGCAGGAGGGTGTGGTGGAGCCTCGCTGGCCTGAGGTGGAGCTCCTCTAGCAGGGTCTGGCTGCAGGGTCTCAGCTTGGCTGGCCCCTTTTCCTGTGGGATTGTTTTCTCCCCACACTGGCGTAGAAAGCCCAGGTCCCCATGCTGGCCCTGTATCAGTTACTTGCTTCTTGGTTTTTTTTTTTTTTTTGGTACCAGGAATTGAGTCCAGAGGCATTTTAACCACTGAGCCACATCCCATCCCTTTTTTATTTTTTTAGGCAGTTCAGGGCCTGAGTTGCTGAGGTTGGTTTGAACCTGCGATCCTCTTGCCTCAGCCTCCCAAGTCACTGGAATTAGAGGCATGGCCACTGTGCCTTGCCCAGTTTCCTGTGTTGGTTTTTGGCTTCTTCCCACCAGCTGGCGAGTGCAGGGCTCATGTAGTGACAAACAGAACCTGTTTCGTTTCTGTCAAAACCCTTTGAGAGAAAAGTTGAGAAAGGCACTCTCCAGCCCCTGCTGCATCCCAGAGCTCTGCGCTCCCCCTTTCTGGGCCAGTCCTGTGAGTGATGTGCGGGACGACACTTCACGCCAGTTCCGAAGTGTGCGGCTGTCTTTAGTGAGTGCGTTTCACCCTCAGTGCCCTTTCACACTGAACCTGGCTCCCCACCTCTCCTGCTGTTTGTGACCCTTAGGAAACTGGGGGACTGCCCAGTGGCCTTTCCTTTTTCTCCATCACATCCAGGGTCCTTTCAGTTGGGCGCTCATCTCGGAGTACAAGTGCACCCTTCCTTCCCCTCACCTGGAGTGGGTGAGGCTCGCAGGGCCTTCAGGAGTCCTCGGGTGAACCCCATCAGTGTGGCTTCTCCTGTGTGACTACGCTTCTGCTTAGTACCTTGGTTCTTCTGGAGCTTGTTTTTCTGTAGTGGGGAGGCAGGGGGAAGTGAGGTTCCTTATTCTGTAGCAGGGAGGCAGGGGGAAGTGAGGTTCCTTATTCTGTAGCAGGGAGGCAGGGGGAAGTGGGGTTCCTTATTCTGTAGCGGGGAGGCAGGGGGAAGTGGGGTTCCTTATTCTGTAGCAGGGAGGCAGGGGGAAGTGAGGTTCCTTATTCTGTAGCAGGGAGGCAGGGGGAAGTGGGGTTCCTTATTCTGTAGTGGGGAGGCAGGGGAAATGGGATTCCCTATTCTGTAGCGGGGAGGCAGGGGGTAGTGGGGTTCCCTATTTTTCTGAATCAGGGGGCTGGGAAGTGGGGTTCCCAGTCCTTGCTTCCTTTGTCAGATGCCACGCTCGCCTCGCCCTGTGTTCTCACAGCCCCATGTGCCTTTCTGCAGCCTGAGATTTTCCCTGGTTTGCAGAGGTGTTAGGCACATCAGCAGGTGGCTGGGGCTGGGAGGTGGTTGTGTCATTCTTAGAACAGTCAGATCCACTCTGTGCTCTGAGCCTGGCCAGGGTCCTACTTGACGCTGAGTGGCTGTGGGCTGCTGAGGCACAGGCTGCGCATCCCTAATGGGAAAAAAAAAAAAAAGAACAAGAAAGGGGAGAAAAAAAAGCTTCAGATTTTAGAGCATTAAGGATGATTGTCTGGTGAAACCTCTGCAGATACTCCAAACCCAAGCCAGGTATGGTGGTATCCATGCCTGTAATCCCAGCAAAGGAGACTGAGGCAGGAGGATCTCAAGTTCAAGGCCAGCTTAGGACTAGGGGTATGGCTTAGTGGCAAAGCTCCCCTGGGTTCAATCTGTACTATCCAAAAAACAAACAAACAAAAAATGTATATAAATAGATAAATAAAGCTGACAACCTTGAATCTGAACCACTTCTGGTCCGATTGCCCCAGAGGAGGACTACTCCTGCTTGGTGCTTTCGCTGGAGCCTTGGACATGGGCGTGGGCCATCTTTGCTGAGGTGGCCAGGCCTGGCATAGGCTGTCTGATGCTGGCGGAGTTGGGATTGCTGTCCTGCGGTATGGCTGGGTCATTGAGCTTTTTGCCATAAAGCGGACCTGGTTTTGGGAACGATTTTATAAAACTGTTGAGAAAGTCAAGAGTTTTGATTTTGAAGAAGTGCTGCATCACATTTTGTCCTTATCTGTTTGGGCTGCACTCGAGGTCTTCCACATGCTGTGTGAGTGCTCACCACCCCCTGCAGCCCAGCTCTTCCATTACCTTTTTGCTGTTTTTTTTTTTTTTTTTTTGTGTGTGTGTGTGTGTGTTTTATCTGTTTATTTTTATGTGGTACCAAGGATAGAACCCAGTGCCTCACACTACTAGGCAAGCACTCTACCCGTAAGCTACAGCCCCAGCCCTGATGTGCTGTTTTTTCCTAAGATTGAAAGTTAGGTTTTCAACTCAGTGTTATTAAATTTGCAGCAGGCCCTTTGTGCGTTAGTTGTGCCTGCGTTATTTTCTCAGTGTGGGATTGCAGGTTGAGGTGAGTTTCGGGGTCCTGGTAGTTGCTGCCAGGTGGCCGTCCAGAGTCAGGTGCTTGAGCACAGAGGCGAGCTGCGCCCTGCCAGATGGAATAGCAGCCTCTGTTTTCAGATCTGCTGTTTGGGTCACTGTTGGGTATTGTCCAGGGGATTTTAGGCTGGGACTTAGCATCAGCAGTGAAGTGTTTTTTTTTTTTTTGGTTCTGGGGATTGAACTCAGGGGCCCTTAACCACTGAAGCACATCCCCAGCCTTTTTAAATTTTTTTGAGACAGGGTCTCGCTAAGTTGTTTAGGGCGTTGCTAAGTTGCTCAAGGTGGCCTTGAACTTGGGATCCTCCTGACTCAGCCTCCGGAGCCACTGGGATCACAGGTGTGCACCACCCCTCCTGGCTTTTGGCAGAAGTTTTGAGTGACCCTTTCCTCTTTTATGCATCGAGAGGAGAGTCGCCCCTGTGCTTGTTGGTTTCTGGGTGCTGGTACTCAGCCTCACTGTATGTCCACAGCATTTGAAGACATGCTGGAGAACCCACTGAACAGCACCCAGTGGATGAATGACCCAGAAACCGGCCCAGTCATGCTGCAGATTTCTAGAATCTTCCAGACGCTGAACCGCACGTAGGTGGCATTGCAACTCTTGGCTGTCTGGCTGTAGCAGCCTCCCCAGGCATGGAGCAGGAGGGCAGGGGCCCTCACCCAGAAGCCGCCTTCAGCACCAGGCCTGGATTGCTCGGGCCACAGCTGCTTTTCCTCCCTGACCTTACTGCCTATGGACTCCTGGACGGTAAGCTGCCTTCTTAGCTCCTGACAGGTGTTCCCAGGAAGTGGCTGTCGGGTGGAAGCGGAGCGATCGCCTTCTCTCCAGAGTGCTGCAGTGGCTCTGAAAGGCGCCCCCTGGCGAGTGCTGTGGGGTCCGCAGGTCATCTGAAAGAAGCATGCTGCAGTCCAGTGCTTTCGCGTGGGCTGACCCTCCAGAGTGACTCTCAGATGGCTCCTTTAATAAATAAAGCTCTTTCCTATTTTCTGCCCTGGCTCCTGCAGTGCCCCCAGCGGCGCTGCATGTTGTCTGGATGTCCGCCTTCTCATGCTCAGTGTGGGTACTGCCTGCACCTGAGGCAGTTGTCGGTGCCTTGGGTTCCCTGGGGCCCTTGTAGACACATTTTGTTGGCAGATCTGGGGACTATGACATAGTGGGCTAGTTGGTGGAACCAGGGACCATGGCCACCTGTGTTGCCAGCTGTCTGTCGTTCCTTCTTTTTCTTAAATACCATCTGTGTTTTAAAACAAGGACCCGAGTTTCCCTTTCTCTAAACTTGGCTCGTTGCTGCTCACAGCTGCTCATTCTCAGCTGGGTTTCAAACTTCCCTCCACAATTGCTCTGCCAAGACCTGGGTAGGCACCGGGTAGGAGCCTCACCTGAGCTCCTGCTCCAATGCAGCTGAGTCAGGATGCTTTAAGAACCTGTTCCTATTCGCTGATCTGAAATCGTCTCTTCCTTGCCCTGCCACCAGCCCCATGCCAGCGGGGTTTGGCCCACCTCAAGTCCTCCCATGCCAGTCACACCCTTTAGTGGATGTTGGGGCTGGAAGAGAATGTTCTCCTGTTGGTTAGTTGTGATTGAGAAGTCTGTGGGACCCAGTGTGGGGGCTGTGGGCTGTGTGTTTTCCCCAGGATCTGTGTTGGGGCTATTTTCCTACAAGGACATAACGCCATGAGATAGACATGTGGCTGAGCTGATGCCCACCCATGTGGTGACCTGCCCTGAGACGTTGTCATGGCATCCTCCAGGGTGCTGGTCCTGACTGGTCTTGTGTGGCTTCTTACTTGGTTGGTGCATTCCCAGCCTACTCTTCGGGCCCCCCCAGAGGCCTGGGGCCATGGGACATGTATTTTTTCCCTTATCCCAACCTCTGGGGATTGTGGATCTGTGTTTTAATCTGGGTGGGGCTTTAATACCCTGTGGAGTTCTGGGAAGAGTCTCTGTGGCAGCTAGTGGCTACCAGTGGCTTGGGTTTAGGGATATAATCCTGCTGTCCTCATGTGTGAGGTCTACCTGCCTGCCTTAGTTGCTCGGGGTATGCAGGGTGTCATCCTGGTGCCTGCACGTGGTACAGCCTCTGCCTAGCCTGGTGTGGACATCTGTGTCCTGCAGGCCTTGTTGAGGGCCAGGGTGCATTTCAGGAGGCTAATGTGGGGGTGGGCAAACTGTGCAGGGCAGCATTTTGCACTTCGACTTGAACCGGGAGTTGAGTTCGGTGACCAGTGATGATGCTGTTTGATCCTGCTTATTGGGGTCATGGTGACACAGAGAGGAAGAACACATAGCCAGGTGACCTCTCAACCAGTTGGGACAGGATGAGGTGTGGCCGTTGATGGTGAGTGTGGGCGTGGGCCTGGGGACCCAGATGCCTGTGCCTGCATAGATGATCTGGCACACACTTACCATTAAATAATATCCACCTGTGTCATTTGGAGCTCCTTCTCTGCCTTTGTCCTTTGGGGCTTGTGAAGTGGGTGGTTTTTGCCTGTGCAGGCCCGGGGCTCTGTCTCAGCTGCTGGGGGCATGCAGGAGCTCCAGGGAGGACTCCCCAGTTCTGGGACTGGCAGCCATGATGGCAGTGGATGGAGGCAGGAAGGGCCAGGACACCTGGGTGCCACAGACTGCAGGGACCTGGCCTGTTGCCACTGTGGCCCATTTGGCCCCCCAAGCCCGGTTATGGGTTTTTCTCCCATAGTTCACTTTCTCAGCTTCCACACTGGGCCCATAGTGCAGTTACAGTGTGGTGGCTCATTTAAGAAACTGTGTGTTTCATTACGAAGTACTTACGTCTACAGAGACACATTTCTGATGGTGGTATTCTCAGAACATGAGGCAGGCACATCTGGTTTGGGTTCTGCACATTTAGACTTAGAAGAAGTTAGAGGCTGAGAGATGTTTATCATGGGGCAGAATAAGAGGGGCTAGGGTTGCAGGATCCCACACTGGCTCCAAGGGGTCTGTTGAAAATCAGTTATGCAGTGTGCTCCTGCAGGAGTGGGCAGCTGGCCACCATGTCCTCCACATCAGACTTCTGCCCCTAGGCCACGAGACCCTTAAGAAGCAGGGATTCCTAGAGAATTCTGAAGTACTGGGTGTGGTGGCACAGGCCTCTAATCCCAGTGGCTCAGGAGGCTGAGACTAGGGGATCACAAGTTGCCAGCCTGGGCAACTTAGCAAGATCCTACTTCAAAATAAGAAAGAAAGAGAAGAGTTAGGAGTGTAGCTCTGGTAGAACACCTCTAGTTTAATCCCCGTCACCCCTAAAAGAAAAGTCTAAAGGAGCCCAGATCCCTGGGAAGGTCCCCTGCTACATGGTGTCATTCTGATGTCCTTCTCAGTTCATTAAGAAGCACAATGTCTTAAGATTGCCTTTTTCCATGGAGTGGCTGAGCCTCACCTATCTTTCCCAAAGGACCTGTTATTCATCTGCAGACTTGAGGACCCAGCACAGCCCTGGGTGTCCTTCATGGGAATGGTCCAGATGGGGAGAAGTCTCAGGCAGATTCAGTGCTTAGCACTCTTAGAGGGTGCAGGGCCTGATTAGGAGGGTCCAGTGGAAGGTTGGATGGTGGGACTAGTACTGAGGCTTGGTGTGACTTTTGCACGAAGGGCCTGAGGATCCTTGGTGCCTAGTGTCCATACATACCTCACCATGGGCTGGATACCTCACATGGTGGTGCCCCAACAGCTGCAGAGCCACCCAGAGGGAGGTGGCTCAAGAGACTCCTGCAGAGATGTGAGGGGCAAAGCTGAGGTGGAGAGCGAAGTGGGAGGTGGAGGGCAGGAGGGTTGGAAGGGCAGGGGGAGCACCAAGAGTTTGTGCCTGAGATGGGGGGCCTGAGGGCCTCCAACAGCAGATGTGGGCCAGAGATGGGGTAAAACCATTCTCTGGCTGGGGCTCCTGAGCCAGGGATTGGCCTTGGGAGCAGTGTAGGCCGTCCCTACTCTGCACACTTTCTGGGCACAGTTGTCAGTGCATGCGAGCACTAACTGTGGGCTTGCCTAGGATCCAGAGCCAGATGTGGAAGTGGAGTTGCAAAGGGACGTTTGTACACGGTGGTCACAGCAGGAGTGTTCTGTAGCTCAGAGTTCTGTGGCACAGTCCACATGATCAGGGAGGATGATGGGTAAGCAGTGTGTGGCCAGCCACATAGATCCCTCAGCCTCAAGCACCTACTGCAGGATGGCTGAGCCTCGAGGACATCATCACATTACCATGGGATCCACTTATGTGAGGTCCCCAGAGTCACCAAGCCACAGGAAATGGAAGGGGAGGGGTACCAGGGGCTGGGCAGCCAGTTGAGTGGAACAGAGATTCTGTTTGGGAGGATGAAAGTTGACAAGCACAGTGGAGATGACTGTATGACAATGTGAATGGACACTTGAAAAGTCAATACTAGCTGGGAGTGATGGTGCACACCTGTAATCCCAGCGACTTGAGAGGTTGAGACAGAAGGATTTCAAGTTCAAGTCCAGTCTCAGCAATTTAGCAAGGCCCTAAGCAACTTAGTGAAACCTTGTCTCAAAAAATAAAAATGGCTGGGGATATGGCCCAGTAGTTGAGGGCCCCTGGGTTTAATCCCCAGTGCAAAAAAAAAAAAAAAAAAAAAAACAAAAACCAAAAGTCAACATCATACATTTTGTGTCATGTATATTCAGTCTCAGTAAGAGGCAGCACTGCTGTCTCCTCCATCCCTAAAGCTCCCTAAAACTGGGCGCAGGAGGCATCTCCCTGTGTGTCCTTCGGTGACACTTGGCAGAGGAGCTGTGGAGGCCTGGCCTGCAGCAGGTGGACTAAAGAGGCTGGTCTGGGCTATGGGTTCTGGGCTGGCTGCAAGGGAGAGCGCCACTGGCCACTGGCCTGTTCCTCTTGCCAGCTTCCTTCTGGCCAGGCTGGGTGACCCAGCAGTCTTCAGGCTGGCAGTGCTCCCAGGTGGCACAGGTGGTAGAGGCTTAGGTGGGGCTGGATGAGTTGACCAGTGTGAGACATCTGGGCACAGCATGCAGCAGGGGAGAGGGGTGCCCACCCTGGAGAGAGAGACCCATAGGGAAGTTCCACCTCTGTCTGTGTGGGGGGCTGAGCAAGTGCAGCTCAGGACAGAGGTGAGTGGAAGCTTCTCTGGGGCCGGGGAAGGAGCCCCTTCAGCCCCCATGGGCCTCTGGAAGGGTTAGTTTGGACCCCAGAGGCCCCTTCTGGCTGAGAGGCCCCACCCCTGGTACTGACTTTCCTCTAGGCTTGCCAGGAGTATTCATGTTCCTTGTCCCTGGTGGCTAGTCTCTGACCAGATCCTGAGATGCAGGCCAGAGAGGCCAAGACCAGGGAAGCCAAGGCCAGGGAAGGTGTGCCTTCTGGAGGCCAGTCATGAGCAGCGTCCTGGCTGGGACCAGTGTCTCGGCTCTTTCTGGGTTCTGTGATGAGTACCTCTTTATGGCTGAGCTCTACCAAGTGGCTGTGTGCATGTGGTGCCTCAGCTTCAGTGGCTCTGCAGAGCCTGGCTTGCCCTGGCCCGGTCCCCGAGGTGCAGCTCTGTCTGGCATGTCCCAAACAGTATCCTAGGCCTGCAGGCTGACAACCACCTGCTGCTCTCTGTCCCGGGGTGATTTTTCCCGGTAGGATATGGGTAGGTGGATGCAATGACCCCCATGGTAAGCACTAAAGATGCCAGTTTCCTCCTGGGGCACAGGAAGCCTCAGGTGAAGAGCTGAGGGGGTGTTTCATGGTGGAGTCAGGTCTCCCAGGGGTCTTGCCAACTGCTCTTCTCAGGGAGGGGCTGCTGGACTGCATGAACTGGGCTCTGTGGCCTCATGTTGCCCACCTTTTGTAGTGATCACCATGTACTGAGCAAGGACTGTGCTCCAGGTAGCTGTGAGGGCTTTGTGTCCACTCTGGTGCATGCCACATGCCCTCCTGGGACCAGGAGACAGGCTCTGTGCAGAGGACTAAGTAGAGGTCCACCTAGGCAAACTGAGATCTGACGAGTCACTTATTAAAGTTTGAAAATTTAAAAACTGGTTCTGCACATCTAAGCCAAGAACACCTTAGTTCTTCCTGAATTTTCAGTTCAGCATATGCATTTTTAAAGTTGTGGTAAAATTGTCATTAAAATTTATCACCTCTGTTGGCCCTAAGCTCCTGAGCCTCCTGCCTCAGCCTGCCAAGTGCTGGGACCGCAGGTGAGCGACACTGCTTGCACCTGGCCTCCAGGATCCACTTGAAGGCTCTGTGAGGTCCTTTTGCAGCTGGAACCAAGGCAGGGGCATCAACTGGCCTGTCTTAGCTTCCCTGGCCCCCTCAGCTCTGCCTGGGAGGCCTGGGACCCATGCAGAGCATTTGGGAAGTATATGCTCTTTAAACTGCCATGGCCATGCACTGTACACAGTGCCGTGCACATGGTGCTGCCTGGTGCACCTCTGGGGTGCCATCCTGGGGGCATCCTCCGGGCCCAACATACACCTTCCACCTAGCACAGAGCACAGGAACAAGACGGGGGTGCTGCCTCCCTACTGGTGCTCCTGGTTCTGGTGTGCATTGTTTAGGGAGAGATCATGTTTTGGGGTCTGTGTGTGAGTCTAGGGGAACCCTTTTCTCCCTGCTGCTCAGCTCTGGCCGGTTTGGGTGGAACTGAGCCCTGATTAGCCACCTTCAGGGGACCATGGGGCCTCCCCCAGGGGAAGCTCCCGTCTCGCGCCAAAGCATGGGTGCTGCCAGAATCCTGAGAGAGCGGAGAGGACTCCAGAGAACACCCAGCTATGTGGGGGCAGGGTGCAACCATGCCCAGCTGACACTGCTCCCATGAGGGGCCTCAGTGCCGCAGGAGCGCCTGTCCTGTTTCCACACTCTGCAGCTGGGCTGACCCTTCTCAGCCACAGAATGAGAGGAGCCCTGGCCTCAGGCCATCTGGAGGGGCACGCTGGGTTTGATGGCTAAGTGTCCACTGTAGGGACACCAGTCACACCTACCCCCTGCCACAGGCTCAGGGGTTTAGTGCTCCTGCTGCCCAATTCCTCCAGAGGTGGCTGGGAGGTGGCTGCCATATCGCTAGGCCTGCACATCCCACAGTGAAGCCTCTGCTCTGATGGCGCCCCCACAGGCTTACATGTCATTTATTTTTCAGAAAGGATGAGGGGATGGTGTCATGCTCGTTGTGGGATGACAGCTCTTTTTTCTCTTTTCTTCTGTGGTGCTGGGGATTGAACCCAAGGCCTTGTGCATGTGAGGCAAGCGCTCTACCATCTGAGCTGTATTCCCAGCCCGAGGGATGACAGCTCTTTAACAGAAGCTGTGGGGTCCTTGCCATCTTGAACCTCCTATGAGCTGGTGCAGGTCTGGCGGGAGCTGCTTCCACTCCTGGTTCACGGAGAATGAGGGCAATAAGGAGGGTGTGGCCCAGTCTCTCTTGCTGGAGGCTGCTGTTTGCCAGCCTCACGTGGAGAGAGTCTCCATTCTGGTGGGGGAACTGGCTCCCTTATAGCTGAGGGAACCAGCCATGTCACCTCTCACAGCCGGTACCAGGCAGTAGGTCCTCCCCCCATCCTCTCTGATTCCCTTATTCAACTTCTCACATAAACATGCCAAGAGTGGCCTGAAATCTCTTCAGGGCCACAGCCAAGCAAAGGAAGCCGGTACTGACATGTGCATGAGCACACAGGTGCACATGTCCCCACACGTTTCACAGCCCACCTTGGGGTGTGACTCCCGCCACAGTGCCAGTCTGCAGGCCAGTTCTCTGCACGCAGGAGCATCTGGGTGTGAGGAACCTCTCCAGGTCACTCCCATGAGCAGCAGCATCCTGTCCCAGCCCTCTGCCTCTCCACATGCCAATGAGAGTCAAGGCCTTTCCTCTCCTCTCCTGAATCACTGACTAATGAAAAGCTCAAAGGAATTCAAAGTTGTGCCTGTTCCTCCAGGTCCCCCACCCCAGAAATCACTCCCCCCCCATGCCTTTCAGGTAAGGGGTTTTTGGGTGAAAATCATCCCATACCACCATCCTACATGACCTTTCTGTACCCACAAGGAACCAACTGGCATTTCCAGTTGGGCAGATGGCTCTAACACTGGCCACACCAGGCCTTGGGGGCAGCCCTGTCTACCTCGAGGAACAGACTGCCCTGGTTATAGGGAAGGTGAAGTACACAGAAGGGCGCTCTCACATGATGCTGGATTTCAGTTAAGACCAAAATACATACCTCTCAAATCAGAACCAAAAATACAAAGATGACATTTCTACTTTTGCAAATGAAAGACAGCTGCCAGGCTGATGCAGAGGTACATTAGCATCTCCTGTAAGCGGTGTCTCTGGGGACAGGGTGCATCTCCACTGCAGGTGCTGGCCTGTGCCCTGGCCCTGGGCTAGAATTCCCCTGAGCTTGCTTGGGATCCTGGGTCAAGTGGGTGCCCAGAGGATCCTATAAATAAGGAAGTTCCAGGGCAGCCTGCAGCTGGCCAGAGCATGAGACAAGGGGCGTGAATATTGGCAGAGGCTTGGAAGCTGGACCTCCTCCAGGTGCTTCTCTTTTCTGAGGGGCTGGAACAGGATTTGGGTCTCTTGAAATTTGATGTGATGGAAGGTGGAGCCTAGAACCAGAACTATAGGAAAGCGAAGGTCAGGGGAGCCAGCCAAGCTCACCTATGCTGGAGAGAATGCTCTCTGCTGGGATATTTGAGAGACGTGGTGCAGGGGCTCCTCCTGCTCGGAGTTGCAGACTGGTGGGCTGGGACGTCACTCTCCTGCTGGGCTGATGGCTTTGGTTCCATCCTGAAGATGTTTGGGGTTGCAGGCAGGGGCCATTTCCTTGCATCCTCTCAGAGTCTTCATGGCACCTTTGGCAAACTGCCCCTTTGCTGCAGATAAACAAAACCAGTCCTGGGTTCTAGCAGCAAGTTTGTTTTGGATGATAGAGATAAATGCTGCTCCTATATTCAAACTTGAGCAAGGTACAGAGGCCTGGCTGACAGCTTCCTAAAGGGTAACTCCTAAAGCACACATGAGCCAGAACTGGCATCTAGACAAAACGCTTGTCTTTCCAGTGCCAGAACAGGTGGAAACATGCAATTCTAGCAGCCCAGATGATTCCTCTGACCCAGAGCCCTCTGTTCCCACTCTTTGCAGTTCCTTAAGCCCACGGGATCTCTGGGCTGCCAGGTTCTCCATCTGCTCCCTGCCCCATGTGGCCCCAGTGTCACAATTGACCCCTGCATATCCCTCCGCATCCCTGGAGGGTTCTGCCCTGGCCAAGCCCTGTGACTCAGCCCTTCTCTGGTGGTCTCAGGGCACATGCCACATCAGCCTTCCTTCCAGGTATGTCCACCTATGAGATGTCTCCTGGGAAGACAAAGAATGATGACGGCATCATAGTCTATCTCTGCAGCTCAGACAACTAACTATCCCAGGCTTTCTCCTGTCCCCTGCCACCCATGGTACCCTGCTGTGCCCTTAAGCCAGTCTTGGGGCCACTAGGGCAGAGTCAGCCAGGCTTCCCGCCCCAGCCCATCCTCCTGTCCCAGTGCCTTCTCTCACGCTGCTACCAGATGAAAAAGAGGGGCCTCCTCCCAGTTTCGTGTCTAGTCTTATGGCGCCAGCAACTCTCCGCCTCTGTCATCAGGTTTCCACCGGCATCTGGAATGTCCAGTTTGCACACACACCCCTCTTTCTGCACCCTGTCCTCCCCTTGGTTCAGCTCAGCTTCTCTGCTCTCCTCCACAGTGAAACTCCTGGAAGGAAGCTGCATACTCATTGTGGGGATTCTATCCTCCTCTGTCCCCACCCTCCCACAGAATTGCTTTCCAGGGATGCTAGGGCATCCCCAAATCCAAAGTCATGCTGAAAACTCTTGATTCTGCCCCACTTCCCTGTTCTGGCCTTTCCTATTTTAGTTAAGGATTACTCAGGTATCAGAATTGTTTAGGCCCAAAACCTGAGAACTAGATAAAATGGACACATTTCTAGAAAGACTTAACCACTGAAACTAACTCAAGGTGAAACAATCTGAACAGACCTATAGTGAATAATAATCAGTTACCCATGAACCCCCATTTCCATATGGCTGTGATGCTGAATTCTACCAAAGAATTAATGCCAGTTCTTTAAGAACTCTTCCAGAAATATATGAGGAACACTCTCAATCTGATTTATGAGGCCAGTGGTAACTGATATACCAAGACCAGATGAAGACTTCACAAGAACTTATAAACCAGTATTATTTTGAACATGGATGCAAAAAAAAAAAAAAAAACCCAACAAAATAGTACTAAACCAAACCTAGGAACATATCAAGAGGAATCTATGTCGTGACCAAGGGCAGTTTATCCAGGAATGCAAGGGAGGGTCAATAACTGAAAATCAAGCAATAAAATACACTACAGTAACAGGATGGCGGGGGGAGATAGATGCAAAAAAAGCATTTTGGATTTTCTGGAGAAAATCCAACCATGTTTCATGATAAAAGACATAACCTGGAGGTGCTGGGGATATAGCTCAGTTGGTAGAGTGCTTGCCTCGCACAAGGCCCTGGGTTTGATCCCCAGCAACACACATACACACACATTCCAAACAAACAAACAAAACAAAAACCTGGGAATAGAGAGGAACTTTTGTCTGATAAAGGGCATCCATGAAAAACCTACAGCCAGCATCATAGTGATAAGTGGGATGCCTCCTCCAGATCAGGAATGGGATAAAGACATATGCTCTCACGCTCCCACTTGACCCTGAGCTGGAGCTTCTTTCAAGCCAGGTCTCAGGCAAGAAGAAATAAAGCACCCTCCTCCCTCGGTTGGGAAAAAGAGGTAAGCTCCCTTCACAGAAGACAAGCTCTGTGTTCAGAAAATGCTGGGAAATCCACTGAGAAACAATATGAACTAATCAATTGGTTCCCAGTTCCTTCATGATAGGAGACCAACACTTGAGCAAGCACCGCAGGTCCTCCTTGACCTCTTTCCTTCTCACCACTTGTCCCACTGTCAGTGACGCCTGCTTCACCCTTCAGAATCCTTCCTCCCTCTGCTCAAAATCCCTTGATGGCACTCCACCTCACCTAGAGGAGGACAAGGTTCTGACCCTGTAGGATCTGCTGTCCCCCCTACTCCTCACCTCCTCCCCTGACTGGGAGTAAATGTCCCCTCGTAGGGCTTTCCTCGGTGGACGGGTTCTATCTACCTCTTGATGTGACATAGTGCCCATCACCGCCCAGTGTACTGCGGGTCACTCCTCTTCTGCCTGGACTCAGCTCCTGAGCCCTACGTCATCTGGACAGCATCTGAAAGACGGGGTCCACTTCAGCACAGCCTTCTTTCTGATAACAGGAGGGCTCTACCAAGTCCACAGAAGTTAAGAACCTCAGATCCAGGGAGGCAGGGGGCCAAGTGGCCACTCCAAGGCGTTGCGTGTCCTCTGATCTCCTGGGGCTGGTGCCCGTGGGCCAGCTCTTCTTCGAGGTCAGCACTCATTTCACAGGGATACTGACTCCCGGATCGTCCAGACCCTGCCTGGCTGAGAATGAAGCCACGCCCGCTCGGGAGGGAGACGCACGCCGTCTTCGCGAGCGTGGGATTACGTGGGATGCCACACAACTGCCCACCTGGGGGTAGGCTCACCCGGATTGTCCAGTTGGGGGGCTCGAAGTCTCCCCAAGCTTCAAGCACTGTTGGGGTCCCCACCCAGCTACGTCGGAGAATGGGCAGTGGAAGGCGCTGTCCAAGAGAGTTGGTGTCCGGCGAATTGGAGGAGCCAAGCCGGCGGTGGTGGAGGGGACCGAGCCTCAGGCCGTCCCACTGTACCTGGGGGCGGGGACGAATGACCGGGCTTAGGGCCGTTCCATTGCGCCTGGGGGCGGGACTGTAGGCGGGGCCTCAGGCGTGCGCAATGTACCTGGGGGCGGGGTGGAAGGGCGGGGCTTCAGGCGCGTGCCACGCGCTGGCGGAGGGGGGCGGGGACTTACGCGCTCCCACAGCGGCTGGGGGCGGGGCTGGAGGCGGGGCTTCAGGTGTTTCCCTTGTGCTTGACGACGGGGGCGGGGCCTCAGGCGCGTCCTGTGCCCTTGCGGACGGGGGTGGGGCCGGGGCAGGCTTTCGGGCTGTCTACTGCGCCTGCGGACGCCGGGGGTGTCAGGGTTAGGCCGGGGGCGGGGCCGCGGGCGGCGCGCTCTGCGCCTGCGGAAAGGGGCGGGGCTGCTGTGGCTTTCAGTGCGCCTGCGCAAGGCAGCGGCGGTGCGCTCGCTCCCGCCCGTTGGCCGCCGCCTCAGCCGCCACCTCCCGGGGCCGCGCACGCGCCGCCTCCGCCCCCGGCCCGCGCCCGCCCCCGGCCCGCGCCCGCCCGCCGCATCCTCGCCGGCCCGCTCCGCGCCTCTTCGGCCTCGGCTCGGCGCCCGCATCATGCAACAACAGCTAGGGCGGCGGCGGCGGCGGCGGCCGTGAGGCGAGGGCCGTGCGCCCGGCGGGCCGGCGCGGGAGGGCGGCGGCGCCTTTGTTGCGGCCGGGCCGCCGCGGCCTTTGTCTGCGGATGGTGGACGCGGGAGGCCGCCCCGCCGCCGAGGGCTGGCGGAGGATGGAGGCCCCGCCGGACGGCGCTGACCTGGTGCCGCTGGACCGCTACGACGCGGCGCGGGCCAAGATCGCCGCCAACCTGCAGTGGATCTGCGCCAAGGCCTACGGGCTAGGTGCGCGGCGGGCGGGGGGCGCGGGCGGAGGGCGCCTGGCGCGGGGGGCGCCGGCCGCCCGCTGGCCGCGGTCCCGAGCGGTGGCCAGAGCGCCTACGGCGAGGCTCGCCGCAGAGGGACGCCCTGGACGCCCAGGCGACCCGTTCGCCACCGGTTTTGGTGGTTGCAGAATCTTGGGCCGCTGACTCCCAGGCCCTCAGCTGGGCCTTGCACGGATTGCGTGGATCTTAGCGATCCCTCCGGTAATTCTGGTCGCGGAGCTGGGTGATCCTGCGACGGAGTTCTTGGTGAGGCCTAAGGTGCTTAGTGGATTAAGGCGGTCTGATTCCTGCTCCGGGAACTTTGCAAACCAGGTGGTGCGGCAGTGCCTTGATTCCTGGCTTCCTCTATTAATTAACCTTAGGTGCTTTGTTTCAATCCAAAGTTAGGGGTTAACACTGGTGTAAGCCTCTTAATTTGAAGCACGAATTAATTGCTTTTATTCTGGTGATAAATGACTGATTCTAGAGCAAGACTGAAGGGCAGAGGTAGCCCTTGGAGAAAAGGGTTAGTTGACCAGTTTTGAGAACTTGCTGAGCAGGCGTTCGGTGTGACAGTGGCCTGTGCCTCAGTCCGCCTCGGGTTAGTCATAAGCACAAACACGTTTTGTGAGTCTCAGATTAAATACACGCTTTATTATTTTTAAAAAATATTGTTTAGTGTCAGTGAACCTTTTTTTGTTTATTTATATGCGGTGCCTATAATCCAGTGCCTTACACATTAGGCAAGCGCTGTCCCGCTGAGCCAGCCCACAGCTTTATTTTAAACTCGTTTTTGTGCTGTGTAAGTAGCAGTTGGAAAATGATTCTTTCCTTTCTTTTAGAATTTTCAGTTTACGATCATTGTTCCCTGGTTATGTTGAATTTCTCTCAGGTTCTGTATGGTGGTGGAAAAATGCTGCCACATACCTGACTTTAAGTGGAATTGATAAAATGTACATGTAACACCTTAGAAAATGACACTGGAGTGTCGCTGGGTGTTGGGCACCATCCACACAGTGGCTTCAGGCACCCCTGCTGGCTGGCCCCTCCTGTGCCTTCCACAGTGATGTCTTCTGAGGCATCTGTATTCCACGATGTGTGCTTAGGTTCCTCCTTCATCCAAGCTCACTGAATTTTTTTCCACGTTGTGTAATATTTCACCAAGGCTTGTCCACCATGTGCCACTCTGACGATTATGGGTGCTGCTCAGTTCAGATTTTGTTGTTAAACCTGGTCAGTTCTTGGGCATGACTTACAGGCCTGTGTGCAAGGTTCACCTCTGTGGTTTTGAGGTTGTGCCTGCTTAGGCTCTCCTGATGAATTGTTAGACTCAAATATTTAACAAAAGGGGCTTCCGTCATTTGCGCTCTCAGTTTGTTGGTAAGGCCAGTGTCTGTTTTATTGCTTTCAGCCTTGGCATTCATCTTGGATCTTGTTAGCTATCCAGAGGTAAGTGTTGACTCAGAAGGTTGTATCTGGTCGGTCTAGCTTATCAGTATGGGTTGCTCTTGGGTATTCTACCTCATTGGAGAGAGAATCAAAACCTGGCACTGGGCTGTAAGTTGGAATTATTGGGAGGTGGGCATGTGAAGACTAGAGACACTGGTAGTAACTGAAGATCAGGTACTTTCTGTCCTGGGATCGAGCCGGGATGGCTGTGCCAGTTGGAGACAGGACTTTAGCTAACAGTGCATATCACTCTGGCTTTAGGAGATCTGTATTCCATCCATTTTTGCTCAATGAGAAATTTTCTGTTTTGAAGGGGAGTAGACGTAAAAAAAAGAAAAAAAAAATGGAAACTCCCTTTAAATTTACAAATTTGAAAGGTCCCAATTCAGATGACCAAGGAAACTCGCCGTGGCTCAGTTGAAGGAATTTTATGTATGCTGTAGTCAAGGGGGTCCCAGCTGGGGTGTCATTTCGCTATAGCTGGTGTGGGGTTGTGTCTTCCATCAACTGGGTGGGGAGTGATTTTAGCAGGATATGTAGATTGTTTCCCCTCAAACTTTGATCCTAATACAGGGGTGAATCTTTGTTATCCTCCACTACCTCTGCAGCTTACGTGCTTTTCAATGAAAGCGACACTTCCAGTCTGGGCACTTCAGTGGTTAGTCAGTGTGGGCAGGCTTGCTGGGAGAAGTGGCTTAGGTGTTTTATAGGTATACAGTTGTTTCTTAGGCTGTGAAGTGAAACCAGCTTTCCTTTTGTGTAGGAATTGAAAGCATGCCAAACTCTAGGGCTGGTTGTGAAGGCCACCTTCTTGGTTTGCCTCTGGGGTTCTGTGTCCCTGGGCACCCGGCTGCCATCTGTATAATCAGTGGCAGGCTCCTGGTGCTCACCCTGCCAGGCCTCAGACATTGGATTATGCCGAAATATTTCCTCCAGCTTAATCTGGCTCTGGTGCCACAGCCAAGACTCGTGGGCTGTCCTGTCCTGTGCTTTTATTTGTAGGTCCACCTCCCTCTTTTTTTGGTAACTCTCATGTTTCATTGACAGTCTTTTAATATTTTTTAGAAGTAACTTATTGGATATGTTGAAAATTCTTCACTTTAAGAAGTCTAAGAGGAGAGGAGTCTGGTAACATTTAGGGTGAAAATCGTAATAAGTTAGTAACAAGTTTAAAGGGTGACTCAAAATGCTATTTACTTTACAGAATCAAGTGCTGGACTGGGGTTGTGGAATTCCAGTCCACTGTGCATTTCACATGTGCCCTACTCTCAGGGACAGTGGGGGACATCAAATCTTGTTATCCCAAGGACAGTTCTGTGTCTGATCTGGCTCTTAGTCATTGCAAGGTTTCTGTGTAGCTCCTTGGAAACCCACGTGCTTTTGCCCTGGAGCTGAGCTGCTGACACCTGGCACTGGGCGGCAGCTCAGCCTTCTGTCCTACCAACACCCACTACTGGGCTAGATAGTGGCTGCTACCTGCCCAGGGTCCCTGTGGTGGGGAATGCTGCACCCCACTCCCTCCCTCTTGCTCTCCCACTCTGGCTAGAGTCATTTAAACAGCTGATTTGACAGGCACGTGTGGAGTGAGAGATCACAGTCGCTTGTGCGTTTAAACCGGCCAGCTCGTACGTACGTACGTACGTGGAGAGTGTTGGAGCCGCTGCGGGCTGCTTCATCTTGTAGGCATTAAGAGTAGCTTTGACCCTGGTTTGTTTAGTTGCAATTAGGGGCAGAACCCTTCGTTATCAATTCCAGGGGGTTGCTTGCTGTTTTGTTGTAGATTGGTCAAAAGGAGTTCAGTGCTGGGAGCCCCTTTCTAGCTCCAGAGCTGGTGTGGAGTCTCTCTCGCTTCGTCCCTGGACTGGGGCGCGTCTTCCTGGGAGCAGCCTTCTCCTGACAGTTTCAGAAGCATATTGCCAAATTCTTCCAGGTGATTATTTGTTTAGGTTATGAGTTTATTACTTTAGATTGTGTTTTTAAATAGCCTTTGTTGTTCTTGGAAAGGAGTTGAGTACTTCTGGGCTGGGTTTAAATGAGCGCTGTTAGGTGGAACTGAGGCTGCAGGGCCAGCGGCTGGTCCTCTGAGTGGCATCTGAGAACTGCCTGTCTGGTTATGTGTGCAGCTGTGCGTGGCTGGAGTCCTGGTCTTGCCTGGAGCTCTGTGTCCACCTTGCTGGGTGCTCAGGTGCTTCTTGAATGGGGGAAGGGGAAGATGTGTTTTGTAGTTCTGTCCTGGTGGCCAGAAGCGGGTGGATTCATATTTTCAAAGATAAGTCAGTTTGTAAATGGTCTCTTTCCTAGCTTGATGCCTAAGTGAAGTATTAGCCCAAGAACGAACGGAAATCCATCTTTGAGTTTGGTCAGTTCTAACTCTTTAAGTTCAAGTGACTCTCTAGAGGGCTGGCCTCATGGTGCTTCAGGGTATAAGCTTTGGGCAGACGTCTCTGAAGGGCTGGCCCTTAGTTCTTATTGCTCATGGCCTTCTGCCTTGGACTATTCTTGTGGCCTAGTAGTGCTGTGTGCCAGCGCCCTTCCCCATCACCTAGCTGCACTGTGGAAAAGCATGGATTGCTGTCATTTTCATTGTTAGGGTGGCCAGAATGGAGCCAGTGTCAAGTCATAACCAATGACAAATGAATGGCCACCCTGTGCATTGTTTTTTATTATAGGAAATACAGAGGGGGATTTTTATTTCCTGCTTTGTTGATTAAAGTCCCCACAAAATATGGACAGACACAGAGGAAACAGGAATAATGCAGGGGTTAGAAGATGACTGCATGATGAGACTGGGGGCTGCAAAAGAGGAGCCTCCAGGTGCATGGGGTGGGAGGGTGCCGGGACAACAGGCTTTGAAGGATGGAGAAGGCTTGGGTAGCCCCCAGGGACACAGGGGAGGGTATCTGGTTGCACCCTTGCAGCGGCAGAGTGTTTTGGGGGCACTGAGTGGATTAATCTTGTTGAGGCAGACAAGTCCACAAAACTGGTGGATTGAAAGAGTAGGCGATTGGTTGGAAACAGTCTGGGGCCAGGTTGTTTATGGCATTCAGGCTGCCTGGGGATTGTTTGGTGTGTGCCTGGGAAGATGTTTTTAGCAGGTCAGAGTGGGAGGAGGCCATGGACAGGTGGACCATCTGGGAACTGAGTCTCTGAGGCTGAAAAAGCCACAGCGAATTAGGGCGGTGGATTGAGCCAGGAGACACTATGAAAGCAGAATCCAGGAGACTGGATTGTGACAGTTGTGCAGGAGGTTGAGTTAGGGCCGCTGGGTCGACAGTGTTGGCTGAACATGGGGACCATCATACCCTTGGCGGGAATGGTTACAGGCTTGCTCTTGGTTCGTTCATTCGTTCCTTCCTTCCTTCCTTCCTTCCCACTTCCCTTCCCTTCCATTCCATTTTATTTATTTTTGGTGCTGGAGGTGGAACCCAGGGCCTTCCTTGCATGTTAGCAAGCACTATACCACCTAGGTATACCCCCAGTACTAGTTAGAGTCTTTGTGTCATGGAGATTTCTACTCTTATGGCTTCTCTT